TTGTTTGTAAATTATAATGTATTCAGTTTTGAGGAAGTAATGAGAAAGTATGTATATTCAATGATAACAAGACTATCTAATAGTGAGAACTGTATATCGAAATCACTTTGGAACTATGACATTCATTGAAATTCTCTGATTGTTAGTAGATGGAACCAATTACTATTTAAATGTGTCACTTAACTTCATTTTTTAAAAATGCAGGGCGCAATTAATTGTTGTAAATGTAACTGAATACTTGTACATATGATATATACATGTATGTACATATGATATATATATATATATATATATATATATATATATATATATATATATATATATATATATGTTCTTTTATGTTTACAATGTTTTACTCTATATCAGTATTTTGATTTAGATGTATGGACTATGCAGTCTGAAATAAAGAATTCTTATCTTATCTTATCTTATCTTATATTGTGAATTATAGGGACATCATATACTATACTGTGAATTAAGGGACTGCATATAGTATGTTATAAATTAAGAGACTGCATGTAGTATGTTGTGGGACTGTATGTAGGGATTGCATATTGTATGTTGTGAATTAAGGGGCTGCATGTAGTATGTTGTGAATTAAGGGACAGCATATACTATACTGTGAATTAAGGGACTGCATATTGTATTTTGTGGGACTGCATGTAGGGACTTTATGTAATATGTTGTGAATTAAGGGACTGCATGTAGTATACTAAGATGTTGTTTATTGTGGTGTTATTTTTGTTTTCACAAAAATGACATTTCTGTCTGTACTTGAACAATGAGTACCTAGCCTGAACAGTGATCAAAACATGATAAATAGAGACAGTGGCATCACTAGAGGTGTGGTAGAGATGAGAACCACACCAGGTGACACCATCAGAGTGGATGACACCAAAATGACTATAAAATTTTTGAAATTTTGTTCAGGAAGGACATAGGGGTGACACCATGAGTTACTGCACATGAATGTCTATAAAAGTTTAAAAATTTTGTGCAGGAAGGAGGTCCATGGGAGAAACAGTTCATGAGTTATCACACTGGGTAACACCAACTCAAAGTGATGCTACTGAGTAGAGGGTGTTTGTACATGTAATGTCATTTCCAGACTGAACATATAGGATATGGAGGCAGGTATTTCTGACACAGTATCATGTCCTTGAGTTTGTATGCAGTGTAAAAAAAAGTAAGCAGTTAAGAAACTTATATACAATATACTGTGAATGAAGGTACTACACTTAGTAGGCTGTGAATTAAGGGACAGCACACCATATACTGTGAATATGGGTCTGCATGTAGTATATTATAAATGAAGGGACTGCACACAGTACACTGTGAATATGGGTCTGCATGTAATTTAGTATAAATGAAGGGGCTGCATACAGTATACTGTGAATTAAGGGACTGTACAAAATATGCTGAGAATTGATGGACTGCACATAGCTGACTGTGAAGTAAGAGACTCTAAAGTAAGGGACTGCACAACTATAAATTAAGTGACCACTACATTGAATACTGTGAATTAAGGTACTAAACATAATAGGCTGTAAATTAAGGGACAGCACACCATGTGCTGTGAATATGGGTCTCCACATAGTTTAATATAAATGAAGGTACTTCACACAAAATAGTGTGAATAAGGGGCTGCACATAATAGGCTGTGAATTGAGGGACTGTGAAGTTAGGGACTGCACAGACTGTGCAGTAAGGGACTGTGTTTTCTGTGAATTTGTTTTTATTGTGGGTATTATTTTTTATATATTGTTTTAACCAAATAAATGACATTTCTGTCTGAACTTGAATTCATGTACAATGGGCAGAGACCTGTTTTCGATGCAAATGGATCCATTTTGTTTTGTCTGTACAAGGATGATTCCTAGCAAACACATATTATTATAATCTATGGAGGGTCTTCCCTTAGTCTGAGGTTATGAAATAAATGAAATGATTGTTGAATGATTTCTGTCAGTATTAAGTAAAAGCAAATTGAAATATTAAAATTGTTTCACAAACTTTACATATATGACAAATTTATACCTGTCTTGTACATACCTTCACCAGGGTGCATGCATTGCCAGTGCTAGTTGTTACTACAGAGCACATTCCTGTTAGGTGTATTCTGCCCTTTGAGACCGTTTTTATGCAAAGTTTGCTAAGAAATTTTATAATAATTGAATGGGGGGGGTGAATGTAGTCTCTATTACATTTTACCATTATTTTAAGGGTTTTATTAACTTTTTATATGTTTTACTTTTATTATTTGATTTGACTTTTACAGAGATTCAGCATGTTTATCTTCTAGGAACTGACCATTTAGTCCTTTTTGGGGGTGGGGCTGGGATTTTTCCTTTATCTTTCCAGTCATAGGATGTTGTTTGTCTGCTGTAAGCTGTAAGCTGTGCATCCCTTAGCATAAATTTGTTATTGTTCTGTCTTCTAAACAACAGGTATAAATGTCATGAAACTGTACATACAGATTCCTCCCATGGTCTAGTTGATCATAAATGCAACTGGTACTGCTTGGACAGCCAATATGGCCACCATGGCAGCCATCTTGAAAATCTAGTTATTCCTACTCCTCCTGTATGAAACATCATATTGACATGGGGTATTCACCATAAGTCATCTTATGAAATCTAGCTTTCCTAAATGAAAATCGTTCTGATCTGTTTTTGCTGCCACATTATCTATCTTGAAAATCTTGTTATTAATACTCGCCTTGAACAAAAAATTAATACTGACATAGGACTTTCAGCCCAACACCTCTTATAATTTCTAATTAGATCAAATTGAAAAATATGCATTAAATATTCAGTAAGTTTGCCACTGCTGCAATCTTAAGAATCTTGTAATCTCAATGCCTATTGAATGGATGGGTTTTATCAGCATGTAAGTTTCATTAATAGACCTCATATGATTTTGTTCCTAATTGAATTTTGGTGCTGCTCAGATATTAAATATGGCCACTCCAAATGCCTTCCTGACATTCTTGCTATCACCATTTTTTTTTAATGAATGATCATATAATGTCAAGTTGGTTGTAAATGTTTATGCCCTGATCTGATCTCCAATATGGCCATAATGATGCCAATCATATCAGCATCATGAGACTCTAATGATTTAAATGCAAATGGCATGCATCTGATAGAGATATGGAAGCCATTTTGAAAACTGTGTTATTGTTACTACTTCAAAACATAAAGCCACATCAACATTGGGTTTTCACCAGAAGATTTCATATCATGTCTTGTTGGTTCTATATTAAAATGGTGCCCATCTGTTATTCAATATAGCCAGCATAGTGGCCATTTTGAAAATCATATTATGGCTACTTGTTTTAAAATGGAAAGCCATCCTAAAGTCATTTCCATTAGAATAGTTCCTTTGATATCTGATGGTTTTAAATGGAAATGACACAAATTGACCTTAAATATAACCACCATGTTAGCCATTTTAAACATTATGAAATCTCTACTCTGCTCAAATGGATGGTTTTATCTATATGGAATTTTACCAATAGGCTTGTGATACCTAGTTGTTCCTAAATAAAAATGGTACCCATAATACATATCACAATGAAAATATTGCTGTTGCTGTTCCTGAATTGAAGGTTATATTGCCTTGAGGTTTTTTACAAAAGACTTCCAATTATTTCTACTTGGCCCTGAATGAAATGGTACAAAACTGACACACTATGCAGTTAAAAGGATTCAGAAATGGTCTTGTCTTGTATTGCATCAAATTCTTTTCACCCATTAGAGTGTCAGACCTGTTGAGGGACTCTTGTTTGTTTTGCCTCAAGATATTTTTGGAACTAATATTATGGATGTAACAGGGCTTTTTTTGTAATAAATCAGAAAAAGAATATTTATTTAAAGCTATTTCAACAAAAAAGTACCCACTAAATTAATGACCAGTCCCTTATTTTTTTATCACTGCTGGTCACTATGATTTAATAAGACCCACAAAATCTTCATTAATCTCTTTTTTTAAGCTCTACTGGTCATAGATCAGATGATTTCATGGTATTACATGTCATCTGTCATCCATTGTTAATTTCTCCTTAGCACAAGTTTGTAATCATCAATCCTACTAAATTACTTGAAAGAATATGATGAAACTGTACATACACACACATTCATCCCAAGGCCTAAAAATGACCATCCAATATAGCCACCAGTGTCCATCTTGAAATTTTGTATAGCTTCTGAATGGTCGGTCATATCAACATGGGGTTCTTGTTTAAATACTCATGTAAGGTCTGTTTGGTACTAAATGAAAATGGTGCCAATATGATGTCCAATAAATAGCCACCAGCCATCTTGAAAATCTTTGTTAATGCTACTTCTCTTGAATGGAAAGTCAGATCCACATGTGGGTTTTATTTGAGATCATTATTATGACATCCAGTATGACCTCCACAGTAGTCATCTTGAAAATCTTGTTATCACTACACTGGATGTTTTTATTACAGCATTGGTTCCAATAAGAAGATTTTTGATGGTTGATTTTGAAAATTGTATAGAAAAAACTGTTTCTTTAAACAGGCCATCACATTTTTAAACAATTAGAGATATTTTGATGAAACTTAATCTAGATCCACAACTAATCATGGGATAGTAAAGTCCCTATCTCAACTTTGCAGGTCATTACTAATCAAAAAGGTCATGAGATGATCATTTGAAGTACACTTTAATTAAAACCGATTATTTGCTGTAGAATATGCTGTGATGAGCATTTGAGACATAGCATTCTTGAAATTATTTTTTGTATGTGTGTATGTCTGTGTCTGTGTGAGATTTTTAATGTAGCTTTTGCAATCTTTTAGTAATATCGCTACAATGTCTGCAATGTGTCAGTTTATAGCAGTCTAGAACTGAGGCATGAAGCCTGATGTCCCACCCAGTCACTCTATCCTTATACCAGGTCAACTAATTCTTGCACTAACCTCTTAATGCTGAGGGTCAAGCATTAGGCAGCTGCTAGTACCATTTTTATAAGTTTTTGGTAGGACACGGCGGGGAATTGAACCCACAACTTCCTGCATCTGAGGCAGATGCTCAAACCACTTAGGCTACCAGAAATTAGTATTAGGTTTGTTAAGAAACAATAAAAGTAATTTTGACAAAAGTAGTTATGAACATTCTTTCTCTGATGTACTGTGTCAAAACTTACATCCTTTAAGCTCTAAAATTGATTACTTCTAATTTAATTTTTCCTTCAGTAACCTTTCACTTTTTCAATTATTTTATGAATTTGTACAACTGTCATTATTACATGCATCATAGACAAGCAAGCTAAATAAACCAATAAGTGCAGCATTTTTTCAGTAGGCAGGCAAGTCAATAGACTTGATGAAAATGATCAATAACATTGTGAGTAGTTAATTGTATTCTCTCCTCCATACTGCCTACTAGTAATTATCTTTGGAAAGGGACTTGATTAATATCTGGGTCATTATTATCAATACATAACTGGTCATTGTCAAGAGTCTGTCAGCTGCCAAACATCTGAAACTGGAAACTGACTGCATACAAGTTCAGGTATTTAAGTACATGTTTTTGTCTCTCATGTTAAATCTGTAGGTATCATTTTGCCCATAGCCATGGTGTCAGTGTCCATGACATCAACAATGATTAAAGCTATGCTAAAGGTGTTCTGATTTAAATCTACTAGATTTGTGACTACTTTAATGTTATATTAAGCCAAAGTACCATTCTTGTTTTGTCCATCTATCATTATTTAGGAACTGACTGGTAGTCAGATTTGTTTTATCTATGCAATTAATTGACACTTTAAGGAATAGCTGTACAACATAAGCTCATTAGATTTACAGTCAACTGTTATGACTTGGAGCTTAAATTTGGACAGCATATCTTTGGAAGAGTTTAATAATAGCTGGAAGATGATTGGTCAAATGTGACAATAAACCGCTCCGGTGGATTAGTGGTTAGAGCATCCTCCTCGGATGTGGGGGGTCATGGATTCTATCCCTGGTTGAGTCATACCAAAGACTTACAAAAATGGTACTAACAAATGCCTTGCTTGACGCTCAGCATTAAGAGGTTTGTGTTAGGACTGGTCAGCCTAGTGTCAGGACAATGTGACTGGGTGGGACATCATGCTACATGTCTCCAGCATGATGCCCCAGTGCTAGATATCACTACAAACTGCCACACTGCAGACATCGTATCAATATGACTAAAAAAATTTTAAAGCTACGTTATAAATCATAATCACAGAACATCACATCACTAATGTGACTATGAAAAGTATAATAAGCATGTCAGTGTAAGGTGGGTATTAATATGAGACAGGTATGTTCATTATTTAAATATAATGTGAATAAAATGCCTCAGCGAAAAGTAACTTTACTTATTGCTTATGACTTATTGCTCCTATAGTTCTATGTGTGTGTTTTAATGGCAAAATTTGCTTTATGGTGCTGACTCATAGTAAAGTCATAACAATGTCAGAATAAAGAATTGCAAATGTACTTTAGGAAGATCAATCCTTCCAAATAAATATGAATATGTAGCACTACAGAAAATATAAAAGTTAAAGATGCAACAATTCATTTAAATGTATACAAAATTCATGTAAAGATAAATATTTTGAAGATGTATTGTTGTAGGGAAAAAATACTTAATGTGTAGCTTGAATGGATATAATCTTTACATTAATATAGCCACTTTTTACATAGGTACAGCATGCAAAATTGCCACCAACCAGTCTTATGGCATCTGGTTAATTTCATGGCTGACTGGTGCAAAAGATAGTCTGTCTGACCAGTTGGATGTTAGGTATATTGACTACATTTAATCAATAATTTTTATATTTTATCATTTTAAAATAATTAATAGAAAAGGTATATCAACTACAAAATTAATATAAAATGTGAAAAATAAGAAGCAGAATTACTATTAATAATTATTTATGAATATGAAGTATATCAGTCTGATCTGCTGGTGAAATGAAAATGGAAATAACTCAAGTATTATCATCTGGTGAAATGAAAATGGAAATAACTCAAGTATAATCTGCTGGGTGAAATGAAAATGGAAATAACCCAAATATAATCTGCTGGATGAAATGAAAATGGAAAGGACCCAAGTATAATCTGTGCAGTACAATAGATCTAAATAACACTTGATAAAAACTTGATAAAAACTCTTGAGTACTTATGTGATGTATGATGATGTCTGCTACTTTTAATTCCCAAAGTCAACATGGAGAATTATTTGGATGCCAAGAAACCACCAGATGGCAAAAACTGCCAAAAACAGCTGAAATTTTTTTTTTAAAAGCAATATGGTACTAATAGACTGATGCAATATTCTAATAATACATGTAGTTGGATTACAGAATTGCCTTGGATTATCAATGATCCACTTGACTAGAGGATCTATTGCAAACCATGCAGATCAACATGAATCCCCACCCCTCATTTAAAAAATGTTAACCAATAATATACTGCTGAAACTCATCTTTCAGCAGACCTAATTTCTTGGGCAGTTATATGTTATAGCCTTATCTCTGGAAGCTGGGTCATGTTATGATTGTCATTGAAGACAAATCAGTGGATGATGATGGTCATTTTAATTCTATGATTCAGACCAGTCATCAGATTCGGATGCATTTAGATGACCTATGTATAGATCTGGACCATCTAGATATTTGACAGCATTGTTCTAGGTAATACACAGTGACCATGTTATGTTAAAAAAATTTTAAAAAATTATATCAATTGTATATTTGATTATATCATATAAACATCGTATATTCAGTTTCTCTTTATTTTACCAGTTTTTACTTTTTAGATAACTTTACTAGGGGCCAATACTCATATGCATTTACAATTAAATCATTGACTGCATTTTGTCTACTTGTATGATGAATTGGTTATGAATGGAAACAGTAACATTTATTTTCTATTTTAAGAAAATTACCAAATTTTGCCTTTATCATTGTTATGTATGCATCTATTGGCAGGGATACCAAACTTTGCTATGTACCATCAAAACCATATTCATACTACCAACATGGAACCACTAAACAGAGTATAATGTTTGTTGGGAAATTTTCTAGTCTTGTTTGCAGCTTCTAAAACAAAGTACATGAACTTTTGGTCCAGTTTCAAAATATGGATATATGATTTCCATATTGCAGCCAATAATCCAGATTTTCATTTCATTATGTTTCTTGCATGTGAATAGGAATACATATGAATTACTTTTTAAATTGCAGTGTTTTTTCCATCAATGTTTTGTGGCATATCTTCTTCTTCAGGTACTAAATTAAACAGAAACTTTGGTATATTACAGTATATACCAAACATGTGTCCCAAAGGCTAGCATTCCCTGTGAGGCATGCATACACATGCATCATTTCTAACACAGAACCATTAGTCATACCAAAGACTTACAAAAACGGTACCAACAGCTGCCTCATTTGGCACTCAGCATTAAGAGGTTAGTGTTAGGGCTGGTCAGCCTAAGTGTCAGGATAATGTGACTGGGTGGGACATCATGCTACATGTCTGCGGCATGATGCCCCAATGCTAGACATCACTATAAACTGCCACACCGCAGACATCATAGTGATAAGACTGAAAAATTGTTAAATCTACATCAAAAATCATAATCACAACACATCACAACACATCACATCACATCACATCACATCACATCACATCACATCACATCACATCACATCACATCACATCACATCACATCACATCACATCACATCACATCACATCACATCACATCACATCACATCACATCACAGAATCATTATGCTGTCTGTATGTCACCATGCTAACAACATAGCTGAAAACTATAAAGCAGACAAATTTAATATTTAGATACTTTGGGTGAATCCAAAAGACTTTGTTAGCTTCCAGTATTTATATTTCAGTTTTTAAATCATCTGGGCATAAGGTCTTTTGTCCAGTGTCTTAAGGCCCAGTGAGCTTAATGCATGGCCTTGTGTCCAGTATCTGCCATATGGCCCCAAAGAGCTTAAGGTAAGTCCTTGTGTCCATCTTAAGACCTAGTGAGCTTATGATGAGGTCTTGTGTCCAGCATCCTTCTATTGTCCATTGTCTGGTGTTCATGTGCAACTCTGGAGTCCATTTATTTTATCTGATATCGACCAAAGTTGAAATATAGGTTTGATTTTGAAAACAAGTGAGATATTGTAGTAATATTGTCTCTGATTGGCCAAGTTTGTTATTTCAGATCTGATTGGATTGAACTGGGAATAGATGCTTATATCATTTATATTTTGGACACATTTAATAAATGGCAAAATCCATGATATTAACGAGTTAATATCTTGCATTGTTACCACTCTGGAGTCATGATTACTGACAATATTCTGATCAAAACATAGGATAGTATAGAAATTCTTTATTTCAGACTGCATTGGTCCATGCATGTAACTCAAAATACATTTATACATATATTTTAAAACATTAAATATCATTGGCATCTTGTGTACACATATCATAAAGATACATACATTGTGTACAAATATAAAGACACATACATTGTGTACAAATATAAAGACACATACATTGTGTACAAATATAAAGACACATACATTGTGTACAAATATAAAGACACATATCTTGTGTACACATATCATAAAGACACATACATTGTGTACAAATATCATAAAGACACATACATTGTGTACAAATATAAAGACACATATCTTGTGTACAAATATAAAGACACATACATTGTGTACAAATATAAAGACACATACATTGTGTACAAATATAAAGACACATACATTATGTACAAATATAAAGACACATATCTTGTGTACAAATATAAAGACACATATCTTGTGTACAAATATAAAGACACCTATCCAGTGACAGAATTTGTCAAAGTTACAAGCTTAAAAGCTGTGTAAGACATTTAATGAGTAATTTGTTCCATCAATAATCAGAAAGTTAAAATGAATATCATAGTTACAAAGAGCTTTAAAGAAACAATTCTCTTTAATTCTTATTTTTTAAAAAAAAATAATTCCATTATAGTTTATAGTAGAGAAATTTTTCCATGTTAAAA